TACTACTACTACTACTCTACTACTACTACTACTCTCTACTACTCTACTCTACTCTCTCTCTCTCTCTCTACTCTCTACTCTCTCTCTCTCTCTCTCTCTCTCTCTCTCTCTCTCTCTCTCTCTCTCTCTCTCTCTCTCTCTCTCTCTCTCTCTCTCTCTCTCTCTCTCTACAAACAAGGTCCCGAGCTTACTTGCTACAAAATCTCTGCCCCTGCGAAATCTCTCCCACAAACAAGGGCCTGAGGGTTGCTAGAAATGTGGGAAAAAGATTGAAAGAAGACTAGAAATTGAACTTAAAAATTGAGGTTTTGAGAAAGCAGTTGATGATGTGCCAGAAGCTAGGGGGTAATGATGTATCATATTAATGTCGCATTGCTGATTTATGAGCGGCAAGTTTGCCAGTATTTGCTGCTTTAATCAGGAAAATGCACAAAATCCAAATCAGGAAACCCACAATGGTTCAGTCTCAGGCAAAGCAGATTGATAACCCCCCTGTAAATTTATGGCAGGTGAACTAAAATATGAGCAAATACCAAGGAGATTTGAATTTGATGCTTTAGTGATTGAAAAAGTTGGGGCTTGATAATTATAAAATAATTTGTGGAGAAAAATGGATCCCTTATTGTCCTATGCGATTGCCTAGAAATTCATTCATTTCCAACTAGAATGAGAAGAAAAAGAAGATAAGGAAGGCAAACAAAATTGGGTAGGCCTTATCAATACAACTAATGATCATCTAGAGACGAGAGCTTCTGCATTGGAAGCTTAAACAAAGAGGCTTGCTAGCCATGAAACCTCATGGCTCTCTCTAATCTAATGGGTTCCTTATAATAAATGAGGAAGTTGAGTTTCCTGTTGGGTTTTGTCTTTAAAGTCCTAGAGATCTTGTAAAAATGATATTTATAAAAGAATATATACTTCAGTAGGAGTGTGTGTATTGACTGACTAAGGCCCCTGGTCATGTCCAAAACCCTTGGCCTTGAGCATGTGGCACTACCAAGAAGGGTTTGCAGTGGGTTATCCCTTGTTGCGGTCAAAAAGATGGCCAGGGACCATGTTTGTCGGCCAGGAGAATTGTGTAGTCTCATGTGTGAGGTTGTAGGCCTGTGAGAGCAAGGATCAAAGCCTCAACAAACCCTGCACAGCATGTAAACATGACAGCCGCATTACTGGGAAGCAACCTTATCGAGGGACTTGTACATGTGCATAGAGAGCCCCTTTTGCACTGTGGTGACAAGTGCTAAACTTGCTCTTAAAGGGGGAACTAAAATCTAAATTCCAGGATCATGATCCCACTGTTTGTTGTTCAACTTTAGCTAGTCAATCATGAGCCTCTGTTTTGAGACTATGGGTTAGGATCTTTATTGGGTTGGATAAGAAAACAGTATTGGATCATGCATGGTTTCTGGGGTATGTGGGGTGCCCTTATTGTCGCTTATTTTAACACATTGGTATTAGAGCCACTATTTTTTACTGTCGTAGTTTATTTTTTTGGGGTCTAAGAAACATGGCTTCAAAAGCTTTCTTGACTGAACTCATTAAGACTAAAACATTTGATAAAAAAACTATGCTAGTTGGAAGAGAAAAATAGGCTATGTCCTCTTTAAAGAAGGACTTAGCCAAATGCTTATTGATGACCCCCCACCGGTCCCATGGGGAAATGCTTATGACAGGCAGGCCGTAAGGGAAGCACATGCCCAATGGGAGAGCAAAAACACTCTAGCACAGCATGTGCTACTTATGGCTATGGATGACACCCATGCTCTTGAGTATGAGCACCTGAAGACTGCAAAGGAGATTCATGAATGACTTAAGACCGATTATGCTTCACCTTCTCTCACTAGGAAATAGCTATAAAGCAAGATTCAGATTTGAAGATGAAAGGAGGCAAGTTAAAGGAGCATAAACAGCAGTTCAGAGCTTTAGTTCGTGAACTCGAGGGTGCACAATGCCAAGATCATGGGAAAACTTCATTTTAGGCCTTACTGCAAGGGAGAGCATGCCAAAGTTTGACAAGATCATCACCATACACTTAAAGCTGAAGAAGAAAGGAGATTGTATCGCGATACTTCAACTTTGAATGACTCTATAAATCCAGTTCATTCAAGAATAAGAATAAAACCAATGAGAATCAAAAGGGCAATAATGAGCCTAAGAAAAAGAAGGATTTTAAGAACACCCAGTGCTATAACTGCAAGAAATTTGGCACGCCACTTTTCTTAGCACCTAGGGGGCCATGCTACCTTTATAGGTAAAAGGGGAGCATGCCACCTTTTTAGCTAAAAAGGTGGCACACTATTTTAAAATAAAATCCTTTTTAAAATCAAATTTTCCCATGCCACTTTTTGTGGTGATTAAGGGCCACTCCCTATTTTTGGGAAGTGTTGGGTGGGGGAGCGGGGGGCGTGTCCCACCTACTTGATTTTGTTTGAACTTTAAACTAGTTATAGACTAGATAGAAATCTCTTATTTTTAAATAAGATTTGGTTTCCTATTCTAGTCTTTAAATTTGATCATATTTCAATTTAAAATTGGATTTGGAATTGGTACAAAGTCTAAGGGGATAAGGTTCCTATCTTTCTTCTTAAAATCATGATGGCTGGTTTTTGTTATGGATGGCTCTGTTTAAATCTCTGTCATCCCATAGATTTCCTATTTATCCTAAAGGTCTAGCTGGAAATTGGATATGGCAATACTTAGAAGGAATGCTATGCAAATTGGGAGATAGATTTCTTTCTATATAAGATGTAATTTAGTAATTTGAACCCAGTCTCTCATTACAAGATCTCTCTCTCTCTCTCTCTCTTTCTCTCTCTCTCTCACGCCCCAAGTCTCTCTCTCCTCTTTCCTTCACGCACAAAAGGGGAGATCTCTCTCTCACGTGCCCCTTTCTCTTTACCCATAGGGAGGCACGTCACCTTCTTTCTCCTTTATATTTTTCTTAAAGAAAAATATAGATGGGGCTATAGTGAAACCCAATGGCAAGGGTTTGCTGAATTTTTAAAAAATGAGGGAGAAGCCCAACCTAGTGAGATATCAACTCATGGATTCAGCCCTAATTTTGTTCCCATAGGGTTTCTATAAACCATAGTTTTGGAGCGCTTTAAACCCTAAAACAGGAAGTATTGCTTACAAAGCTTCCCTATCTCAGAATTTCCAGCAACACCTTAAGAGGTAAAAATGCGTCATTAGTCAGGGAATCAAGTGTCGGGTATATCGAGTCCTGGTAAGGTAACTCGAACGTCTTCTAGTAAGTCTTCCCAATAGTTTTAATTAATTTTCAGTATTATTTTCTATTTTTCTGTAAATTTCTAAGAACTTATTTTGCGTTAAAAATTATAGTGGAAGTTAGTTTAAAGTTCTTAGATAATTTCTATTTCCCTTGGCAGTGAAAGTAAAAATCCTAGGTTGTATTTAGGGCATTACTTTAATATTCCAGCAATATATTGTGACCTATGTAAGTAGAATTCAGGTATTCGGAATATAAGTAAAAGAAAATATTTGAATTTAGTACATTGAGTTCCACATAGCTCCCCATTGTGGGATCATTTTGTTATGGGCCTTTGTGCGAGAATTTGGTAGAAATGGTTTCCTTGTAGAATTCGGGGATTTCTTCTGAGTTTATGCAAGAGTACGGATAGTAAAGCTACTGCCGGTCTCAATAAATGTATTCAAAGATTTTGGGGCAGCTTTTTAGGGATTTCCATGTCAATTGGGTTTCAGATTGTTCTAGTGACCTAAGAGGATCGAAGCATTTTGGATTCTTTTCTGAATTTTTTCATTGATGAGTTTCTTATATATTTTGATTTTTGGGGTCTCTGTCTTAGTAGTTTTCTTGCCTTTCCAATACTATTTACCTGGTTTTATAATCTGAACCTCGTAAATAATTTATTTATTTTTAATTTGGTATCCAGATACTCAGGGAACCTAGTTAGCTGGTTTAATAATCTGAAAATATGTAGATAAATTTATTAAGCTATTTTTAAGTGTTAATAATACATGGCAACTTCATGGTATATGATGCATTACTTGAGGAATTTTTTGTATATGGTGATGATTATGCATGATTGACGTATTCTGAAAAAGGATAATTAAACAGACCATCGGACATTGTCCGATTTTCGTTTGGACAGACCAATCAAAGGCCACCACAACTATTGGCACTTCCTGAAATTGCAATTAGAAAACATAGACTATGAAAATTTGACAGCCAATTTCCAGATATTATTTATTCTTTACATATTCATGATCATTGTAGTGCTTAAAATTGAAAACTCTTTTTTTTTCACCTCTTTTTTGCTTTTGGTGTAAAGTAAATATTCTTTTGCTAGTCTCTGTGATTCTTTTGTATTCTAGATTGTGTTTCTTAATTTCTTCTTGTTCTTTTTCTCTTTTGGACTTATATTTTGTTAACTTGTTTCTGATCTTTATTATAAAATACTTTTGCAGTTCATTGTTCTTGAAGCATCATTATGGTGTTGGCTACACCCTGACATTGGTGAAGGTTTGCTTTTATGTTGTTTTTCTTTTTGTCTTTACATAGCATTTTCTTTATAAACGCTACCATTAGGTTATCCATACTTCCTTCTTTAGCATGGACGTGATAGGTTCAGTTTTTTACTCTGAAATGTGATCACTTCCATGTTTATTAACTCAGAGTACGCCAGGTCCCTCTGCAGCTGCTGACATTGTTCTTCGTCATGTTCCTTCTGCAACATATTTGAGTGATGTAATCATCTTTCTTCTCCCTCGCTTATATCTTTTTTAAGGGCATTTGCCATTCTGTAATGTATTAACATTGTTACATTATGCAGTGATTTGTAGGTATTATACCATGTAGCTTTGCAAAGGAAGATGTTCGAATTTTTTGTTGGTTTTGGTGCTTCTTTTTATCTGATGGATGCATTCGAGTATATCTTGCTATATCATTATGATACTTTTTTTTTCTCAGGGTAATGATTGTATCTCATGTTATATTAGATAGACAATCAGGAGCTTCCCTATGGTAGGGATCACAGTCTGTACACCCTAAAATATAGAGATCTGGATCCCAACATGTGGAGGAGCTCAATACTTAATTGGGATTGAATGCTAAATTATACATGACCAAGCTCCCTCTGATTAAAAACAAGGCCCCAGGGAGTACTTAGCTAGTACAGTAGTATATCATATACTAGTATATTGTACCACATTGTTATACAATAATACGTTGCTATACTATAATAGAATTCCATGCTATATATTATATTCTACTATGCTATACTATATGCTACTGTAATTAGAAATTACTGTCTGCAACTATATAATATATTGTAATGGATTATATAATATTATGTTATGCCACTGCTAGACTATACTATATTTCCATGCTATGCTAGTGTGCAATAACACACTACTGTACTAAATAAACCGCAATACCATATTACAATGCTAGGTACTAAATATACTGCAATACCATATTACAATGCTAGGGAATCTGGATCTTGATCCCTAATAAGAAGGATTGAAACTCCAATGTTTTAAAAGTGCGGAGTTAGAGTCTCTTCACTATATTACAATGCTAGGGAATCTGGATCTTGATCCCTAATAAGAAGGATTGAAACTCCAATGTTTTAAAAATGCGTAGTGAGAGTCTCTTCCTTGGTGAAGCGTAGGAGTAAGTTTCCCTGGCAGAATCAACCCTATGGTTGGAAGATCCTGGTAACTATGATTTATTCACCAGTTGCTACAAAAGGTCCTTTTTGGAACCTCATTTTAAGCTCATGCATAATTTAATTTCACCTTTACTTTTTATATCGTTGGTTTAATTTGAAGTTGGACTTTTTTGGTTGAGTTTCTCTTCCTAGGATATGATTTTCATATAAAATGTACTTGATATTTTTCTTGCATGATTTTCAGGTTGGCACAGAGATATCCTTTCGGCTTCCCCTGACATCCTCATCATCTTTTGAGACCATGTTTTTGGAATTAGAAAGGTGCATAACAAAACCAGAAATTATTCCAAGAAGAAACACGAGTGAGGGTGAACATAGTGTTGGTATTGAGAGTTTCGGCATCTCTGTTACTACATTGGAGGAGGTCTTTTTAAGAGTAACTGGATGTGACTTTGATGGATTTGGACTTGTTGAACCAAATCCAAATCAGTATGGGGAAAATATAGTTGCAACGGAAGGCATTCCTTGGTCAACTATGTCAGAAGGTCCGAACTCTGAGGATTGCATTGGTACCTGTGGAAATGATCACTTGAAGACATGCTTTTCAATCAATAGAGCCTGTGGCCTGATATTGTCAACATTTATCAGTGTATTGATGCTTTTGAAACATCATTGTTGCTGCTCTTGGAGTGTGATAAACCCTATTTTCAAGGAGCATTTTAAAGCTCTCCTTGTAAAACGGTCAATCTGTGCTCGAAGAGATAAAAAAACTGTTTGTTTTCAGCTTCTTATCCCTGCATTGTTCTTGTTCTTTGGTTTACTCTTCCTGAAGCTTAAACCTCATCCAGATCAGCAGTCTGTTACTCTTACAACTTCATATTTCAATCCTCTGCTGACTGGTGGTGGTGGGGGTGGGCCCATTCCATTTAATCTAACTCATGCAATCTCAAGGAAGGTTCTTTTCTGTCATAACTGTTGTTTTCACTATATATGGTTTCTTTTCCACTAATGTCCGCGGTCAGCCTTTTTTTTTGTTCTTTTTTTTTTCTTTTTTTTTCTTTCTTCTTCTTCTTCTTCTTATTATTATTATTATTATTGTTATTCATATTTTTGTTTCTAGAACTGTAATAGAGATCCTTATCTTCGTTTCATTGCCTAACAATCTTTTGTCTCTTTAGGTGGCTGCTTATATGAAAGGGGGGTGGATTCAAAGACTGAAACCAAGATCATACAAATTCCCAAATCCAGAAAAGGCACTCCATGATGCTGTTGAAGCAGCAGGACCTGTTCTGGGCCCAGCCCTTTTGTCTATGAGCGAGTTTCTGATTACTAGCTTAAATGAATCGTACCAGTCAAGGTATGTTAATATTAAACTCAACAACTCCAATTGTATCTTATACGATTCCGTTTCCCAATCCGTTGGTGTTTTTTGTCTTCCTATTTTGCATGTTCTCTTGAGAAAGCTACTATCCTAATTTGCCCATAAATTTGTTGAAGTTTCCATTCACGTGGTAGTGTATTTCTTTTGTTCTTTTGATCGGACACGAAGTTGTGGGTGGCACCATTGTTCACCATAGCTCGGGCCTCCTGCCCATTCAAGATGACCCTTGTGTACATTAGGCGACCTCTATTGGCAACTCCCTTTGCACCTTATGCATAACATGCAGCTGGAGGGGATTGGCCCTTGTGACCTCTACCTCCTCAGCAACTGGCTGAACCTCATTTGGGGGCTGTCTCTATAGACAATATTTGGCTTCTTGGGGCCCCTTGCAGATGAAGAAGCCGAAGAAGTCCTTGGTCATCGTTTTCCCAGAAGACTCTGACATGGGCCACCCACATGGCTATTGTTTGGGGTCTTCACCAGCCTTCCCCCTTGTTCTTGCCAAATCATGCACCCTCTGACGAGGCATTCAGCTTGTAATCAATTTGGCTCTCCGCCATGGCCACTATTGCAGAGAGATCTTTCACTCCTTGCTGCCTTAGCTCGGCCTGAGCCCATGGCTGCCAACCATCCATAAAGTTAAAAAGCTTGTCCTCCTACGACATATTCTTAATGTTGAGCAGGGGGCTTGAGAATTGATTCACATACTCTTGCATAGTCACAATGTATTTGGGTTTTCTCAATGCCTCAGGCACTGTCCAAGCGGCATTCCCAGGGGAATACATGGCCACAATGGAAGACCTAGGTTGCAGCTACATAAGAGGAAAGGTTAGTTCGGATGCCTCACTCATGGCTCAGGGACATAGGTACCTTTATAAATGAGCTACAAGACCTCTAAAGCTACCTATGTAGGGCCTCTAAGCTAGGAACTCATAAAAAAGGAGCCGCTAGAAGCCATAAAATAATAGGAATTGTTCCTTCAACTCCGTTTCAAGGTCCTTCCAACTGGTTATCAGAGGCCTCAATCCATTGACTGAGTCTTCCTCTCGAGCATGAGCACCTTGGAAATAGTGCTTCATGTTTGAGTGAAAGTTTTCAAACTCCGTGGCGCAACGGGCTCCACCATAATGCTTGGGCTCAAGCACTCGAACCCTAGCTGGTTCGATGTTGTTTGGGGCACTGGCCAAAGCCCTCTTAATCAAGGCGAGATCCTCAATCAAATTCCTTAGATTTTCTTTGAACATGTCCATCAAGTAAACAATATTATGTTGGGGTTATGTGGCCATTTAAAGGCCTTATGAGAGCATGTATTAAAATTATATAATAAAATATTGGCTCCAATGGGAGTGAGGTCCATTTTAAACTATGAGGCATTGCTAATGTCGAGATTCACCTGAGTTTTGACTGGCTATGACTCAAAGTGATGTCTAAAATCCGTAGTCCTGAGCATTGTGTGAGCACAACCGATAAGGGTTTCGATGTAGGATTATCCCTTGATAAAGTCAGAGTTGTGCCCAAGACAGATACGCCAGGGGACTAGATGTGAATCTTGTGTGCGATAGTTGGCCGGAGAGGACAACGGCCTAAATCCTCATCATTACTAGCACATGGCATGTACGCTAGATAGCCGTTCGGGAAGCAGCCCTTTGGATAAAGGTGTATGATGTGTACATGTGCGAAAGAGATGACTGGACTGTGTTGGAAGGACCCATGAAGCATAGTGTTGGAATGGGTCTTGGGCTTGTCCTCAGGGAGGAAACTGTAATCTATGGACTAGGATCGTGTTTCCTTCATTTATTGGTGGACTTTGATAGCCCAATCAAGAACCCCTGCGAAGGGCTGTGGGTCATGGGAACTATCAGGCCAGTTTAAGAAGGTGCAGTGAGATGCAGTCTCTAAAAAAGATGAAGTTTGTAGTATATTTGTTGTAATCCTAACTCTATGGATCCAATTTTCATCAAATCTTCTTAGATATGTTTAAATATATTTTAATTATTTTTCAGATAATTAAAATGATTTTTTAGACCTCTCTAGGTATTTTATTTTATTGAAAAATGATTTTTAAATAAGGCAAGGTCAATTTTCTGGTTTTATTTTAATCAGAAGAGAAAATAAAATATTTGATGACATCATAAAATTTATTTTAATATATGTAAAATATATTTAATGTATTGGGGGGCCATTGTGATTTATTGGGCCCACCAATTAGTGGGGCATGGGGCTCACATGGCCTCCCACAGGTTGGTGCGCCACCTCCTTGTTTCTCTCTTTCCTATTTGAGTGCTCAATGTGGGGGCGTGCCACTCATGGGACCTCTAATGGGCCCCATGCACTTCCCCACATGTTCTAAATTGGTGGGGCGATAGAGAATAATGGGCCCCCATGTGTGTAATTTTAAAATTGATAATATGAATTTTATAAAGCATTTAATATTTTATTTTCTCTCTAAATAATTTAATATCTGAAAATTCAGTTTAAACTTGATCATAAATATGTTTTGAGAAAATAAAATATTCAGACTTTTAAATAGTTATTTTATTAATCTAAAAATCTATATAATCAAATTAATTATTTCTAAATTAATTTGGTGGGATTCAGATCCAACTATGTTAAGGAAAATACGAAAATACTTAGGCACTCCATCTTCTACTAGAGACCATGACCACTCTCACGTTGTCAAACCGACCCAGTGGTTCCCATGACCACAGTCCATCGCAGGGGTTCATGATTGGGCTACCAAAGTTAGCCAATAGGTGATGAGAATATAACCTAGTGTATGGACTACAGGTTCCCCTTAGGGACAAGCTTAGGTCATACAGACCTATGCAGACACATCGCAATTGGTGCATCGGGGTATCTCTCGTACATGTACACGCAACACCCTCAATGGTCTTTTGCTTCCCGGTACGGCTATCATGTGTACATGTCCTGTGATGGTCTATGATGAGGACTTGGTCATTGCCCCTACAGGTCTACCAATCACGGGTCACATAGTCCCTTGGTAAACTACCCTAGACATCTCTAACCTCATCAAAGGGTAACCCTGATAACTCGTCTTGGTTGTGCTCTATGCCCAGGTATCTTAGGGTTTTAGTTCTCAATTAGCCTAGCTCATCAAGCCTAGTTTGAGTCTCGGCATCAATATTGCCAACTTCGGCCCCTCTGGACCATACTCCCACTGGAGTTCATTGTTCCACTATAGTAAAATTAGTTACATGCTTTCATAAGGCCTTTACATGGCTACAAAAACCCAACATCTTTCACTTGGCCTTTGATGGCCTTACAGTCTCTCTTCCTCACTCTCCCTCAGCCCCACCATGTACATGTTTCAAAAACATTTCGAACGAACCCCTTTGTAAGGAGGTCTGCTACCATTACCTATGTGGGAATGTATGTGATCTCGATCTCTCCATTCTATACCTCATTTCGAAGGTGATAATAGCAGGGCTTTATGTGCTTGGATCTTTTGTGAAATCGTGGCTCTTTAGCCACACATATTGTGGCTTGGTTGTCACAAAAGATTCTCACACATGCACATCGTATAGGTTCAAACTGTAGTTAATTGAAAAACTTCTTAATCCATACAACCTCCTTGGCTGTCAGACAACATGCCACATATTTTGATTCTATGGTGGATAATGCTACAACATCCAATTTTTTTTATTTCTAAGAAACAACACCACCTCGAGCATGAACACATGTCCAAATTTGGACTCTGCATCATTGGGGTCACCTTGGGAACTCGCATTTGTCTTACACACCAATTTCTGAACCTCCTTCATATGGCAGCGCATAATTCTTTGTTCCTTTCAAGTATCATGGAACTCTCTTAACCACCTTCCAATGCTCAATTCGCGGGTTGGCTTGGAATCGGTTAATCATGCTTATGGCAAAGGACAACTCTGGTCATGTTCCTGACATGGCATACATTAGAGATGCTACTGCTTTGCAATACGATATTCTTTCCATGGCCTTTTTCTTGTCATCCTCACTAGGTCACATTTGTAGGCTAAGTCTGGTCTTCTTCTCAATAGGGTTGATATGGGCTTACACTTGTCCATTTTAAACTTTTTCAATATATTTTGCAGTAAGTTGGCTTGAAAAATTGAATGGTTTAATTCGCTGTATTCCTTATTATCTTGATGCCCATCACTTATGAAGCTTCCCCTAGATCCTTCATATCAAAATGTCGTGAAAGGAATTCGTTTGTTACCAACATGAGAGGCATAGAGCTATTAACTATTATCATATCATTTATGTATAATTATATGAATAAGACATCACTGCCACTAACTTTATTATAAGTGTAGTAGTCTTCCTCATTTGGGGTGAACCCTGCTTGAGACAAGGTCTCTTGAAATTTGATGTACCACTGACATGATGCTTATTTTGGGCCATAGGGGGATTTTCTATGTTTGCATAATAGGTTCCCTTTTCCTTTCTCTTCGAAGCCCTCAGGTTGTTTCATATATATTTCCTTTTGTAATTCCCCATTGAGAAAGGCAGCTTTCACATCCATTTGATGGCCCTCAAAGTCAAAGTGTGCGGTTGGGGCAATTAGGATTCTAATGAATGGAAACTTTGCAATGTGAAAAAGTTTCATCATAGTCTATCCCTTCCTTTTGGGTGAATCCCTTAGCTACTAGCCTAGCCTTTTTAATTTCCCCTCTGAGTTGAGTTTAGTTTCTTCTTGAAAATCCATTTGCACCCGATAGTCTTACAATTTTTAAGTAAAGACACTAATTCCCATACTTGGTTTTGGATAATGGATTTGTACCTATCTTTCATGGCTTCTACACAATGGTTCTTTTCAGGACAGCATGTGGCTTCTTGGTATTTGGTAGGATTAAGGTCTGGCTCATCTCCAACTCTCTCATAGTGTTCCCCCATATAGGTGAAGAACTCAGGTGGTCTTTTAATGCATTTACTTCTCCTAAGTTCTGGTTCAAGTTCTCAAGACTCAGCCTTGTCACTAGCCATCTCACAGAGATCGACTTGCTTAGGACTCGCTTTTGCTTCAAGGAACTCGTCCTCAAAGAAGTGGGCATCCCGGCTTTCTATGACTACATTTTCATGGTTGTAGAATCGATACCCCTTACCATGGTCAGGGTAGCCAATAAAGATTGATATCCTTGGGATCAAGTTTGGTCCTATTTTGGTATGGGATTAGGACATGGGCAGAACAACCCCACACTCTTAGGTGGTCAAGGGACGGAGTACAAGTACTGAAAGTCTCATGAGGAGTAAGAGGAGCAGCCTTAGTGGGAGTGAAAGTCTCATGAGGAGTAGGAGGAGCAGCCTTAGTGGGAGTGAAAGTCTCATGAGGAGTAAGAGGAGCAACCTTAGTTGTGAAGGTTTCGGATATATCATGCCGTCAATACTGCTTCTCCCCAAAAGTCGAGGGAGATCTTTTCATGCCCCATCATACTTCTCACTTTTTCTACCAAGGTCCTATTCCGTCTCTCAGCAACTCTATTTTGCTCGAGTTTTTAAGGCATGGTGTACTGGTGCATAATATCATACTTCACGCAGAAGTCCCTAAAGAAATGTTAATACTCACCGCCCCCATTGGTTCTTTGGATTTTTATCTTTTGGTTTGTTTTGTTCTCTACCTTGGCTTTGTATTCTTTGAAACATTCTAAGACTTCGGATTCTGAGTGCATAAGGTAAACATGTCCAGTGGTCATCAATAAAAGTGATGAAGTACGTTTTGTGGCTTTTGGAATCCACCTACATACAACTTCATATGTCACTATGAAATTATGCATGATTTCTAAAATGTTAGAGGCACAAAACACTATGAAATTATGAATGATTTTTGAAACGTTTGAAGCTCTTTGTGCCCCGGTGGAATTTATCCTTATCAATTTTCCTTGCGCACATGACTCATACACTTTTGATAAATTGCCTTTGTAGTTTTTCCAAAATACCGTCTTGTTTTAATCTCTCCATTCGTTTGTAACTTATGTGCCCTAATTGCATGTGCCATAGGAAAGCATCAACATCATGAGTGGGAGACTAGACATAAACAACCTCTTCTTTTATTTCAATAGAATAAAGCCCGTCTTTGAGATTAACTAGTTCGTTGTAGTTTTTTACTATCATCTTATTTGTAGAGAAGGTGGTGACAGACCGACCTTATCTATCTTTGGGACCGAAACTAAACCCTTCCTCATATCAGGAGCATAAAGTGTTTGCTTTAAGACCATAATCTTCCCATTTTTGATTTCAAGTATATAGTCCCCAGCGCCCAACACTTCAATCTTTTGGTTTCCCCCCAAAAAGATGTGTTGCTCGCCCAGCCCCATGGTTTAAAGTTGCTGAAACCATCCTTGGTGTTTGAAACATGGGTTGTAGCTCCCGAGTCAATAAACTAAGATATGCCCTTGGGGTTGGCTAGCATGGTCTCAAACACAACACAAGCATATTCCTTATTTCTCCCAGGGTTCCTATTGAACTTACAATTCTTGGCGATATGCCCAACCTTTTTGCAAATATAGCATTGCCTATTTCCTTGGGATCGGTTGGCATGGTCTCGAACACAACACATGCATATTCCTTATTTCCCCCACAGTTCCTATTGAACCTACAATTCTTGGCGATTTTTTGCAAATATAACATTGCATATTTTTTCTCTTTTCCTTAAATATATCTTATTGTTCTCTCTCCCTTTTTCTTTTCCTCACCCTTTTTCTTGTTATTGAATCTCTCCTTCCCCTTATTAGGCTTAAAATAAGGTTTAGTATTTACCATATGCACCGCATCTTTAGGTGCCGGTGTATTGTGAGCATTCTTCCTCTCCTCCTCGGCTTTGAGCAAAGTGATGAGCTTGTCTAGCCTAGGAGCGGTCTCCCTAGCAGCAAGGGAAGATACAAATACCTCCCAAGAAACGGGGAGAGTATTTAGCAAGTGAACCACTTGCATGGGTTCACTGGGCTGCATCTCAATTGCCTCCAACTCTCACTAGAGATGCTGCATTCACCCCCTTTCTAGCTATTAGTTCTTTTACATGGGACTCTTGTATGCATAGTTCAGCTTCAGACATAAGTGATATTGTCGAGTTTGGATTCACGGTGCTGCTCATCACATATTTTTATTGTTCTGTGTTTTTCATCTGTAACCTCCATTGGAATCTTGGACCACTGTGTTGTGCACAGCTCTGTCTTGGTTTGGGTATATTCTTTGGTGTAAGGAGTGGTCTTACCTGTCTTATAGGTCTTTTGCATCTTGTTTCCTCTCTTTGATCTACATCTGTTTCATATTTGGTATTATGTTATATTGCGTGTTGATGATCAATATGTTTGTAATAATGCTTAAACAAGTGATTTGGATGTCTTAGCCCCTAACCCAGAATTGCTGGGGTGTGTGTGTGTGTGTTTTTGTGTATGTGTGTGTGTGTGTGTGAGAGAGAGAGAGAGTGGTTTTACTGTTTGATGCATTTAAGCTGTCAAACATATTTTTATTTTGGATTGATGTACTAAATTGATATTTCTATTGTCACATTAGTTAGTCTTCCATTTTCTAATGTGAACAATAATTAACTCATTCCTTTAAAGGTATGGTGCAATTTTAATGGATGACCTTAATGACTATGGAGACATGGGATACACGGTACTTCACAATTGTTCTTGCCAGCATGCAGCCCCAACATATATCAACTTAATGAACAATGCAATTTTACGGTTTGCTACTGGCAACAAAAGGATGGAGATTCGCACTCGGAATCACCCTCTGCCAATGTCAAAAAGTCAACACTCACAACATCAAGTACATTTTCCTCTGTCATCATAACTTTCACTTTGTTTTGCATGGTCCATCTAATTTTATTTTATATGCGCTCAAGCAATACCCCTGTTGTGTGATATGATAAATTACAGACAGAACACTGTCGTGATTCTTCAAGCACTTTATTTGTTATATTAGTGGCATTTTTGTTACAAAACATGTGATAAGTTTTAAGTCAAAATTTTTAACTTTGCAGGATGTTTACCTTAGTTATATCGTATTTTACCAAACTCTTTTATGTATGGAAAAAGATTATGTAAGGTTGCAACCTTAAACTAGAGGACTAAGGTGCACCTCAAAAATCCAACGAAAAAGGTTGCTTTGATATTGGAAAACTCTCTAATTGATTATCTGGACGTCGAGACGTGTGGATATTAAAAAAAAAGATTTCGAGTCCCAAAAATAGTGCATCTTGAAAGACAATATCTTGACCATCCATTTCAAGATTTTCATGTATTTATAGATCTACTTGATTTGAATCATTTTGGGAGTTTAAAATTTTATAATTAGAAATGAAAATAAATTCTCAGGCCATCCTAGAATTTTTATCAAAAATTACATCTTATGATAAAAATTGGAGGCGAACCTTACTTTGATTGTTTAAGGTTGCAACCTTATGCACACCACACCCTTTATGTATATATTTGATTGAGTTTCCTAACAGTATGGGAATTATGCAAATTATGTTTGTCTTTACCTAAACGTATTTTCTGTTGTTCCCTTTTCTCCCTTCAGAAATGTTGTTCCATTTTCCACATCAAATGTTTCATTAAAATTAAAATTGAACTTCGGTTGTTGAGTAAACATAATTTTGGATGACATTTGATTATGTTTGAGAATTGGTTGTGTAAATTTTTTAAGTGCTCCCGTCGTTTTGGAGACAATTCTCAGAAGTTTAGGACTTGTGGATTTAGCTTTCTTGAGAAGGAATTACATTAAGCTGTCATTTTCAAACTAAAATGGGGCTGTATCGTCTTCTTACTTTTTTTATTCTGGGGGAGTTGATCTTTCTACACCTCCCACTGTTCCCCTTAGGAGGTTCTTATGACAGCAGCATTATTTGACAGCCTCTAATGGCAGTATTATCGTTCGCAATGGGAACTCGTTTTTACTGTTCTTGAAGAGATAATTTATCTATTCTATACTTTGATCTTCTTGAAATCTTGCCCATGCCCACCATCGTCGTGTCTGCTGCTGAATATGTGTAGGATGTTATGCTGATTTAATTACAATGTTTTTTCTTTTGCAACCAAATGTTTATATTGAAGTTTCTAGCAATCCTTGACAGTTAATACTACTATGTTTATTTTTTATTTTTTTTACATGATCATGTATATATGCACAATAAAAATGTGTTCCTTGGGGACTCCTTGGAAATTTGGTGCCCACACCAAAATTAATTGATGTTATACCTCTATTCTTATTGTAAAGTAATTCTACTTGTTGTCACACAAGTTCCCTTCCTTGTTCTCTACTCTCAACTTTCTCTGAAAATTCAGAATCTTATTTTTCAACATATTCAATCTATGATGGTGGATTATATCTTGAGCAGTGCGCTAAATTTTGTTTTTGTTAAAACTCATTGTGCTGTATTGAGCAAATTGATGGCTAATTTATATGCACCCAAAAGCGGCCTATAGTACTATGTAATGTACTTGTATTATACGTGTATTTGTTATGGATGTCTATTTGTTATGGATGTCTTTTGAACAGCTTTAATCAGATCCTCTGCCACATGCCATCCTCTGGCCCTAGTTTGTGCTTGATGGAGCAAATAGCTTTCTAATAATATTTTGTTCCTTATTTTAGTAAATTTATTAGACTTTGCTAGTTATCTTATGTTTCTTTGAGAATCTAAGTTTCCTAACTTGTAGGTTGGTTTTTATTTTCGTAGAAATCCAAGGTCCACTAGGAAATCATCCATTGGAAAAATATCTCCATATCCCTTATTTTTAAGTTTCATTTCTTGATAAACCCAAGGTTTCAAAAGATATCTTCTAACCCCTTGGCATTTTAAACTATTTCTTAACCTAAACAAATGTGAGAAAGACATGTTCATTCTAAACCCAATCCTTTCTCTCTCCACTTATATACCCCAATCTTCTCTCTTTCTCTCTCTTCCTGACGTCTGCCTCTATCTCTTACCTTCCCATTTTCCAACCTCTTTCTCTCTCTACCCCCATTACCTCTCTCTTTTCCCCAAACCACCATACACCAGTAACCCCCAAAACTCTCTCTCTCTTGCCCATTATATCTCCCTCTTTCGACCTCTTTAAAGCCCCCTACCCCCATATTCCCTATCTCGTGCCCCATTACGTCTCTCTCTAGTTCCCCAAACCACTATATTCCAACTGGGCTTTGAAGTCCTCTAGTTCTCTCTCATCTTGCAAGCTTGGTCCAATCTCAGTAGCGTGACCAAAGCCCCATTCCGTGTTTATTTTCAGCTGTCAATACAGAGGAAGTCAAAATAATTTTAGTGGGTTTTGGGGTTTTGATATTACTGAGCCATGCCTTCTCTCTATCAGTGCTGGTTCAATTGTTAGACTTAGAAGAATGAGAGAATTTAGAGAGAGAAAGCTTTAATGTTATACAAACTTTAATGGACATGGGTGAATAGGTGGGTTTAGAGAGAGAAGAACGAGAGGAGGGAAGGTGAAGGAAGAGAGAGGAATTGGATTGAACCCATATGAGATTGGATGGAGATATAGATGAAATGGGGGATAAAGTGGCCATTGGTGGTGGGATACTACGATTGGAAGGTGGTGGTGCTCAAACAGAGAGAAAGAGAGGAAGAGTATATTCGTTACAGAGAGTAGATCCTTTAGAAAGAGAGAGTGGAGGAGAAGAGATATGGCGTTATGGACTTGCGATTTGTGAGGTGTTTTTGATGCATTGCTGCTGTGTTTCTGCCCCTTTTGTGGTTGATTTGGGGAAGAGATGAGGCGATTCGTGGCTTGGTGGTTTTGCTTTGTTTGGGGAAACCATTGGAGATATAAGAAGAGAGGAGTGGGCAAGGATCGAATTATCTGTCCATTCTCTCTCTACAGAGACAAACAGTGAGCTCTGGAGAGAGAGAGGGTGGGAGAGAACCGTCCAAAATATTCAAAGTTTCATATATATTTTCCAAAGGTAATATCAAAGAGAGACGTAGTGGGCACGAGAGGGACGGAGAGAGAGTGAGAGGGGTAATGGGCAAGAGAGAGAAGGCATGTCCTTTTAGATTTGTTTGGCCTAAAAAAACAGGTTTAAATTAGTTCAGGGGGTTAGAAGAAATAAAATTTACAATTTTTATACCCCAAGATATCTTTCAAAACCTTGGGTCTATTGTGAAATGAAACCTAAAAATAGGGGGTGTGGAGATATTTTCCCTATTTTTTTTGTTCAAGCACTGCTTAATACTGAAAAACTATGAAACCTGTCTACAGAAAAGACTATATTTCAGCTTTAGCCATTAGCATGATTTTGTGTGGTTGTAAAATGTTGTTCCACTTAAACGCTACTAGGCTAACTTAAGGAACTTGTCGCCTTATTCTTTTCTTTTTTTTAATTGTAGTCATTTCTATGAAATTTCCATAAATATCTTCTGAATCTTTTCTTGGTTGAAATGGTTCCTCATCATAATTCTATGCTTTGTTTTACTGCTTTATAGGATTTGGATGCATTTTCGGCTGCAATCATAGTTAGTATTGCTTTCTCTTTCATTCCTGCATCATTTGCAGTGCCCATTGTTAAGGTACATTTCTCTAACATGTTTGCTTATATTTATAAAAATATTTGAATCTGATTCATTTTTTTCCTTTTTGCTTGGTGATTGGTGCATGAGTATTGATGGTTGTAACCTTGGAATCGCCTTTAATGTCATCCTTCTAGAAAATTAATACTGCATCTGTGTTGTGTTTTTACAAGTATTGTTACATACATCATTTTTCAGAGTATATTTTCCCACGGGCGCTCAATTATTTGTCTGTGGCTGTCAACACCTAAAACACCAGCCAATACTAGTTTCTTATATGATGGCCCTGCTACAGACTTTAGAGATATCTTTAGGGAGAATGCCAGCGAGGAGGGCAAGGTAAACATAGAAGCACAAGGGAATTGCTTAAACTCCCTGCTCCATTAACTGTGAAAAGGGGGATACTCCTCTTTCCAATAGCCTTATCATGGACTCATCTAGCTCAAATAGCCTTCATGCATAGATGATGAAGCAAGTAAAAAAAGTTTTGTTAGCATTTTTTGGTAAGCCTTCATTCATAGATGGTGAAGAAAGTAAAAAAAGTTTTGTTAGCATTTTTTGGTAAGCATGGGTATTTTAGGTATTTTCTCTGTAATGGACTTTCCTGAATTTTACATGAAAGCCGAGGGGTTCCATTTAAATTTTGAGTGTGGAAAAATTAGGAGGGAAAGGTTACAGTTAATTTAAAATTTGCTTTGAAAGAGGTATTGGTTATGAGGATAGTGTCTATTAATACTCCTAGAAATTTTAATTGTGCATGGCTTGGGAAAAGGTATTTTGCATGATCTGGGAAGGGTTAGAGTCCATTAATGCTCCTAGGAAAGTTAAGGGAGCTTTGATTTAGGAGCCAAGCCAAGTGTCTTAAAAGAGGAAGACTTTTCCCCTGCTGGAATCAATGTTTTTTCTGTAAATATCTCAAAAATCAGGGACTTAGTTCCCAATTTGGGTTGTCTTTGGAGCCTCTTACAAGGCATTGAATATAAGCTTTGTTAGCTTCAACCCATTGTCTTTGAATCACAGTTGAAATCCCTTATTTTGTACCTGATTGTGAACTATATCTCTCTCTTGTCTCTCTGTTCTGGAATTGGTATGAGAGCAGGATTCCTCTCTTTTGAATCTGGAGTTATGGCCAATAAAGGTGGACGTGGAGGTCGAGGAGGAGGAGGACAAGGTGCTGCTATGCCAAGGGCAGAATATGAGGAATTGTGGAGGAGATTTGGTCATCTTGTCCACTTTGAATGAGAATCAGTTACTCATGAAATTGAGCCAAAAAAGTGAGGGATCGAGTGGAGAAGTATAAGTCCTTTCCACAACCAAAGGGAGAATCCCTCATTGGAGTATAGGTTGATCCGACCCCCTAGACAGTTCAAGGTGTGAGAGTTATGTCCCTGAATTTTTGGGAAAATTTCAGCCTGATTAATTGTTGGACTGGCTAGATTCTGTGGAGGATTTCTTCGAGTGGAATGATTTCTTTGAAGGAAGAAAATCGAATTTTTGGATACCTGACTCAAGGGGCATGCTTAAATATGAATGCAACATCTGCAGGCCAGTTGAGTGAAAGAAAAGATAGTGACTTGAAGGAAAATGAAGTCGCGTTCTAATGAGGAATTCGTGCCCACTGGTTATGCGCAAGAATTGTACCAAGGAGTCCATCATTTGCAACAAAAGTAGGGCATCAAGCAGTGTATGGATGAATTCTTCCTCATGAGCCAGAATGAATTCAATGAATGCAAGGGCGAGCTTGCGTGTTATGTGAACTTATACCTCAAATTTAAAACAAACTAACTCTCCACCAACTTTTCAATCTTGGCGAGGCTTATTAAATGGCCTAAGAAGCTGAAACCATTTGAAAAATAGTCGCTCTAGTGACAAAACAATAGCCATTAGAAGTTGGGTCTAGCTTACACCCAAATGAGGCATCTAAGGGCAAAGCTCTGGCTGCCAACAGGCCCTTCCAACCCCGAGAACAGAGTATGAAATGTCATAACTGTGGCAAGATTAGCCACTGATCGTATGAGTGCTGGAAACGGCAAGCTGGAACACGTATTCTAGATGGGGATGATTCAAACGAAGTAGACCTTGTCATGGGGCCAGTATTCGATGAGGAGCCGGTAGGGGAAAATGAGCAAGATGTTGCTGAACTTGAGGCTGATGATGGGGATTTTGTTGTCAATAGGTAACTACTCACTACCTCAAAGGTGTTAGAAGTTCTGTGGCTCCGAACCATCTTCCGAACTCGTTGTTCAATCTGTGGGATGGTGTGTAGTATTACCATTGATAGTGGCAGCTGTGTTGATATAATGTTTCAAGAGGTTGTAGAAGGAGTACTAAGCCAAGTAGAAGTGACACATTTTTAAATATTTTGGTCTAGTATAATAATAAAGCTCCAAATACATATATTTTTCATACAATTTGAAAAATAGTACATAAGTTCCATCCACCGAACCTGGCTTTACACTCATTTTTAAACAAAAATGCAACTCTAATTGATCCCTTGTTAAAGCCCAGACTTAAGATACAATAAGAAGATTGAATAAATAGAAAAGTATACTCAAGTTCTCATGTTCAACACTATACAAGTTACATTCTCAAATTATTCATCACTTTAGAATTACATCAAACACTTCAAGACCAATATCCTTCTCCACTAAACGCATACTTGCACATGCATAATTAACTTGATCATCGTAAGCTAAGATTAGAATTCAATTTGCTTGGTCTATGGCCAATAATTTATTATGGCAATATCATAGACTAAATGGACAAAGACAAACATGTTCCAAATATGATATGCTCAGTTACTCATAGCACAAAATATTAAATACTCTAAATCTTATGAAATAGCCAATGGGAAGCCAATGAACGAACCCTTTGTGCCGGATCACATAGGCGGACCATTTAGGGACTTAGTTTTGCCCCATGGGTGATAGCACGGATGGCTCTAATCACAAGGGCTCACTTCACTCAAACTATGGAGACCACTTAGATATATTCAAGTTTAGAGAGAGATATGAAGTTTTAAAGATCCAAACAATCGAGAGAGATGGAGACCAATCGACTTAGACAAAAATCACGTGTCTATGCTGTAGTACAGTATGGGGCAATTTTTCAAACACTTATGCTAGCATAATTTCCTATCCATATCGAAAAGGGGATGAAATGCTCACTGACATGTCAAATATATTTGCTCCAAATCTCAGGAAAATCCAGGTAGCAAAATCATGATAGAATTGGTATTAAAGTGATGAGCCTTCAAAGTAAACTATGCATATGAAAAGGGGGTATGTGCATAGTTCGGTATAATCATGAAAAACCATGAAAAGCTCAAGCTAATTGCACGAGGAAGCCTCCGAGATCTGAGAATTATAGCAGCCAAAGAGATGGAGAAGAAAATGCTCAAATGGAGAGGGATGTGAACTATATGGTTACCTTGAAGTATGGAGCATGCAACTAGCTAGATACCATGAGATGATGGAGACACAATGGAAGCTTGCACCACTAGCTTTGAAGCATAAGAAAAGGCTCACAAGAGTGTGGTGCGGACTGTGGAAGTCTCCTTACTCTCTTTTTTTCTCACTCTATAAGTTGTAATAATATGCGTTAGGGTTTAACGAACCTAACTTATGTATTTATAGTGAACGGGTTGTGAATGAAATAATCTACACCCTTGATGTTTTTAAGCTATGGTACATGAGAGGGCTTTGATCCTAGCCACACATCAATAACTGGCCATCAAGATATATTGACACCATTTGAAAGGCGTGGCTATGTGGAAGACAAGGTATTAAATTCAAAAAAAAATCCTTTAGTTTTTTTTCAAATACCTGAAATCTATTTACATAGGGCCACAATATGTTGCTATAAAATTAAAATAAAGTCCTAGATACAACCTAGGATCTTTATTTTTAGTGACAAGAGAAATAGAAATTATTCTTGAGCTTTAAGCCAATTTCTACCTTAATTTTTAGCACAAATAAGTTCCTGGAAATTTACAAAAAATATAAAGTAATATTGTAAATTTTTTTAAAACTACTAAGAAGACTTATTAGAAGATGCCTGGGGTTATCTTACCAGTACTTGGTACACCCCACACCCGATTCCCTAACCAATGGCGCACTTTTGCTCCTTACAGTGTTGCTGAAAATTCTGAGATAGGGAAGCTTTATAGGCAATACTTCTTTCTTTAGAGTTTTAAAGAGCTCAAAAATATGCTACAGTTTATAGAAACCCTATGGGAACAAATTAGGGCTGAATCTCTTAGTTGATCTCTCTCTACTTCTCTTCTTTCCTCAAATATACTGCAAAACCTTGCTCTAGGGTTTCACTATCGCAGTACCTCTATTTTTCTTTTGGGTGGCCTAACACAAAAATATAGAGGAGAGAGTGGCATGCCTCCCTATGGGTAAAGAGAAGGGGGCACATGACTTCAATTTTTTCCTTTAGAGAGAAGTGATTTTGGCATGGAGAAGAGAGACAGAGAGTAGGTGCATGAGAGAGAGGATCTAGTCTTAGGAGAGAGAGAAAAATCTTGTACTGCAAGAGAGGATTCAAACTAGATCTTTATAGAGAAAGAAATATGTCTGCTAGTTTGAGTAGGATTCCTTCTCAATGTTGCCTTATCCAGTTTCTAGCTAGATCAGTAGGATAAATAGGAAATCTGTGGGGTGAGAGATATTTAATCAGAGTCATCCATCCCAAAAATCAGTTATCATGATTTTGGGTCGAAAGATGGGAACATTATCCCTTTATACTTTGACCCAATCCAACTCCTATTTAAAATTGAAATATAATCAAATTTAAACATTATTTAGATCTCCCATTTAAATTTGAAACACAATCAAACTTAAACATTAACTAGATCTCCCATAAGGATCGGAAACCAAATCTAGTTTAAATTAGATTTCCTATCTTAATTAAATCAATTTTTAAAACTTAAACCAAATCAAATAGAAAAATCATGGGGCATGCCTCCCCTTTTTGCTAATTATCTGGTGTGCCGC